GGTGGGGCCAGTGGAGGGGTGGGGCCAGAGGGTGAGGCGGGGCCAGTGGAGGGGTGGGGTCAGTGGGGGAGGCAGGGCCAGCAGATGGGGTGGGGCCAGGGCACACAGGAAGGCTAAGGACAGTAGAGGGGTACAGCCAGCATTGGAGCCACAGCACTCCTCAGCATGGAGTTGGACAGGCATGGGTCTCTTGGGAAATGGAAGGCAGCTGGGACCACTCTGGGAGGTTGAAGTTAACACAGGGGTCACCAGGCAGTGTAGGACTTGGATTCCCACTCCACCCAGGTGTGGGGAAGTGGGGTGTTGAGGACGCACCTTCACAGTGGACGCTGTGGTCCCCAGGCCCACCTGGAACAGGCACCTGATGCTGCTGGCTGCAGGTGTCACAGCGCTCCCCACTGAGCCCTGGGGGGCAGGTGCAGCGGCCCGTGTGAGGGTCACAGCGGCCCCCAGGGCACTGGCAGCCTGTGGTGGGGGGCTTGGGTGAGCATGGCCGACCTGGGACCTTGAGGCGTCCCCCATTCAGAAGTCCCCATCCACCCTCCTGTGACCTGCCAGCACTCACGCCTGCAGCCCTGCTCAGGGAGCCCCCAGTAGCCAGGGGCACACTCGCGGCATTGGGGTCCCATGGTCCCTGGTCGGCAGTGGCACTGTCCGCTCTGGGGGTGGCACTCGGAGCCCTCGGCGGCCGGTCCACAAGCACACGGGCGGCAGCCCCCGCAGCCTTCGAAGCCAAAATGTCCCTCCTGTGGCACAGGCTGTAGTCACTGCCCTGCCCAGCCCTCAAGACTGTCCCAGACCAACCAGGAGGCCAGGGGTCCTGCCCATCTGGCCCTGCCCCCTGAGGCTCCGCCCATCAAACACCGCCCCTCAGCCCCACCTATCAGCCTCTCCCCAGGCCCCAACTCCAGTCCCCAGGCCCCACCCACCCAGCCCTGCTTACCGCACAGCCTCACCTGACAACGGTCACAGCGCCGCCCAGTCACACCCGCCTTGCACAGGCATTGCCCGCTATGGGGGTTGCAGGCCTCTGTCCCACATGGGGCACAGTCGCACCCTGCAGAAGGGGTCCATGACTGCAGCCCTGGGCCCTCTCACCCCCTAGGTAGCCCCTATGCCCCCCACTAAGCCCTCACTTCACTGCCTCCTGCTCTGCCGGTTCCAGGCCGCCGGACCACCCAGCTACCCACTCCTGTCCCAGCCTGGCCCCAGCTGCCTCCGCTGGGCCCGAGGGACCTGCAGACTCCCCACCACGGCCTGCCCTGCTCTGATGGCTGATGGCTGGTGTCCGCTGCCAGTGGCAGGGCATTGCTGGTGGTGTCTAACCTTGAGGGGTCCCTGATTGTGGGGGGAGAGGGGATGTGATCGTGAAATGAGGGGAGCCTGATCATGGGTTAGGGGGAGGGTCTGATGGTGAAGGGAGGGGCCTGATCACAGCGGGGTAAAGTCTGACCATGGGTCGGGGAGGGGGGATGTGATCCTGGTATGGGGAGGGTCTGACTGTGGTAGGGAGAAAGGGTGTGATGGTCGGGGGAAGGCCTGATGGTGAAGGGGCCTGATCGTTGGGGCGGGAGAGCCTGATCATAGCGGGGGAGAAAGGGTTGACCATGAGCACAGAAGGCTGACTCCATCTTGTCCTGGCTGGGCCCCAGCATCAGGCACACAGCCTACTTCTGGGGTATGCCCAGCAGGCCTCCCTCCTCCCTGCGCAACCCTCCCCAGGGTGCATCCCTCCCAGCCCGACGCCTACGGGTGCAGTTGCCGGGCAGCAGCGCGTTGCCATAGAAGCCGGGGGCACAGATCTCGCAGCGTGGCCCAGTGGTGTGGCGCAGGCAGCCACGGCAGGCACCCGTCAGGGGGTCGCAGTCGCTGAAGAGCAGGTTGGGGTCACCATTGCCGCTGCAGTCACAAGGCTGGCAGGAGCTGCCCAGCACCAGTGGGTTCCCGAAGAAGCCGGGCGCACACCTAGAAGCAGGGTGGGGAGGGGCCATCAGTGGTCAGTGGCCCGTGGCCCCCACCCTCGTGTATCCTGGGGTCAGCACTCAGGCCCTGCCCCGCTGCCCTGGCCCCAGCTCACCGCTCACAGGAGGCGCCTGCATAACCAGGTTTGCAGAGGCACTGGGTGCGGCCACCTCGCAGGACACAGCCCTCGGCAAAGCTGCAAAGACCAGCAGCATCAGTCACTAGGCCCCTGGCAGTGCCCGGGCCCGGGTGAACACACTGTGCCTAGGCTGGAACACACGCCAGGCGTCTGGGGTCCAGACCTCACGGACACCCCCAGCTGTCCAGGCCTCTGCAGAGGGCAGTGGGAACCCATCCCGCTGCAGGGTGAAGGGAGTGTGGCACCGTCAGGGCCTCATCCCTGGAGGAGCTTACTTGTTGGAAGGCACTGAGAGGGGGCAGGGGCAGCTGACACAGGGGGCACTGGGGTCCTCCCTGCTGCTCACAAAGCCAGCCTGGCAGCGCTCACATTGAGCTCCTTCGGTGTTGTGCTGGCAGTCCTGGGGCAGAATGGACAGTCAGTGCTATGGTAGACACACACATCCTACTGCCAAGTCTGTGCAGCTCCCACCACCCCTGCCTCAGACTCTGTGCCCAAGGCCAGATGGTCCTCCACTGGGCAACACCCTTCCCCGGACCTCAGCTGACCTGGAAGTGCAGTCCCTAGTCTTCCCTGGCACGCCTGATTGTGCCTTCAGTGAATGTGCCCCCCGCCGGCCCCGCCAGCCCCCACTCACCACACAGATGCCAGAGCCAGGGAGGCAGCGGTCTGAGTGTCCGTGGCACTGACAAGGGACACATCGGCCCAGGAAGAGACCTTTGACGTCCCGATAGAAGCCGGGGGCACATTCCTGAGGGCATAAGGGGACAGGTGGCATCAGCAATTGAGAGGATGAGGGGCCCCACCCTGCAGGCTCACAGGTCAGACCCTCAGGGATCCTGCAGGCACAAGGCACTGGGAACCCATGGAGTGTGGTCACCGGTGGGTCAGACGCTGGTCAGGAACTCCTGGCCTCAGCTGGCTGGAGGTAGGCCAGCACCTGGCTGCTGTTTGAGGACACGGCTCTCAAAGTCACACAGATGTCCTGTCTCAGGAATGACCAGGCCTTGGGGCTGGTGACCACCCCCTCCACGTGGACCAGGACCTGCTTTTTCCACTCCTTCTAGGAGATGTCCAACCACAAACCTCCTCATACAGAAGGAGCAAAGTTACAGCAGACAGACAGATTAGCAACTGGATGGACGCACAGTGGGCAAGGGACAGACAGAATGACAGGCAGACGCCAGGATGACAGGCAGTGAATGACAGGCAGATGCCAGGATGGTCAGTGGGGGATGTCCAGGTGACCCAGTGGGTGGGGACTGGAGTAGGTGGGGAAGGGGTATGGAGGGTGTGTGCATGGAGGGGCAGGCGGATGAGCGGCAGGCAGACAAGGGGCAGGCAGACGGGCAGCAGGGGATGGGCAGGCCCATGAGTTGGCCAGCAGCCTGCAAAGGGCAGGGGCAGGAAGAGAGGCGAGTAGGGAGACAGGAAGTAGAGGCAGCAAGGAAGGGAACACAGGGAAGATGCTGGAGGGAAGGGCATGCACAGGTGAGCCGCCTCACAGTCTGGTGTTGTCCTGACCTCACCTGGCATGAGTCCCCCCGGTAGCTAGCGGGGCACAGGCACAGCTCCACATTGCTGGCCAGGGTACCCTGGCCTGCTGGGCTGGCCACCTCCAGTGCCACCCTGCGCAGGGAGACAGCCGAGGAGATCTGCGAGAAGAGGGCACGGATCTGCAGCTGCTCCAGGCTGGCAAGCACCATCATGAGCTCCTCACGGGACACAGTGTTGCGAGTCTCCGTGTGCCGGAAGTTCCCCTGTGGGTCCAGGATGGCACCTCAGTGGGGCCACACTCAATGGGACAGAACAGGAAGCCTAGAACAGACCCCCCAGCCCTGTAGGGGATGGAGGGGCACAAAGACCACGGGGCAGGAGGAGGTACACACAGGTAGAAAAATCAGTCTCCCATGTGGTCAGCCAGCATCTAGATCCCTGCCTCACACCACACACCAAACCAGCTCCTGATGCCTTAAGAATTGAAATATGGCTGGGCGCAGTGGCTCCAGCCTGTAATCCTAGCACTTTGGAAGGCTGAGATGGGTGGATCACGAGGTCAGGAGATGGAGACCATCCTGGCTAACACGGTGAAACCCTGTCTCTACTAAAAAATACAAAAAACTAGCCAGGCGAGGTGGCGGGTGCCTGTAGTCCCAGCTACTAGGGAGGTTGAGGCAGGAGAATGGCGTAAACCTGGGAGGCGGAGCTTGCAGTGAGCTGAGATCCAGCCACTGCACTCCAGCCTGGGTGATAGAGCAAGACTCTGCTTCAAAAAAAAAAAAAAAAAAAAAGAATTGAAATACACAAAGAGAACAGTCAAGCTTCTAGGAGAAAATACAGACGGGTCCTTTCTGATCAAGTAGTGACAGATACTTTCTCAAACAAGATGCAAAAACGCTTGCTGCCAAGGAAAAAAGGGTAAATTCAAGTACATTAACCATAAGACTGTTCATCAAAAGACAGCTCAGGCTGGGCATGGTGGCTCACACCTGTAATCCCAGCACTTTGGGAGGCTGAGGCGGGAGGATCACCTGAAGTCAGGAGTTCAAGACCAGCCTGGCCAACACGGCAAATCCCCGTCTCTCCTAAAAATACAAAATTATCCGGGCGTGGTGGCAGGTGCCTATAGACCCCGCTACTTGGGAAGCTGAGGCAGAAGAATCACTTGAACCTGGGAGGTGGAGGCTGCAGTCAGCCGTGATTGCACCACCCCCCTCCAGCGGGGACAGAGCAAGACTTCGTCTCAAAAAAAAAAAAAAAAAAAAAAGCAAAGAAAAACCAGATGAGCTGTGAAATGGGAGAAGACGGTTGTTACTCTGAAGTCTGACAGAGGGTAAGCACCAAGAATAACAAAGAACTCCTCTAAAAGGATGGAAAAAGACCCACAAGTCAAAGAGAAATGGGCAAAAGATGCTAACGAGCAGTGCACGGAGGAGGAAGCCAACAGCGGCTGAGCAGCTGCCCACCCCTCAGGGATCAGGGACTCACAAAGCAGGTGGGAAGACGGCATCACACCCCAGGGTGACCCTAGCGCAGAAGATGTCTGACAACGGGTGTGTGCACTCCCCCAGCCCCCGCCCGCTTCTGCTCCTGGGCTGTTTTCCACCACAGAGAATAGGCACAGCAGTACTGGGACCCCTTCCGGCCTTCTCGGGTGTGCTGAGGTCTGGGAGGGACCCGGGTGCCCAAGCCAGCTCCCCTCACCTCCACCAGCTGCAGCTGCCCACGGTGAATGTGGCCGGGCATGGGGTATGCCGGCTCCAGGAATGTGATGCTCATCTGGTTGCCCTGGGAAGGCACATGGGTAGGTGAGGGTCGGCCCGGGCCTGGACCACGGAGCCGCTGGGCCACGCCCACCACACCCACCCAACCACGTGGCTGAGCTGCAGCTCCCTCACCTGCAGCACCACATCCGGCCTGCTCTCCGTGGGGACAAAGACGTCTCCCCGCTGGGTCTCCGAGTGCAGTTCATAACGGAGGGTCCCACCGTAGGATGACACCTGGAGGCGGGACAGACAGAGGTGACCTGGCCAGACCCTGGCCACAGGCTCAGAGCCCATCAGCAGTGGTCTGGGCACCCCAAGCACAGGGCCCCCGAGCTGGGCCCAGATACTCGTCCTACCTGGGACAGGGCCTGGGCACCCTCGTGGACCCTCATGGAGCTCCCCCTCCCTGGACAGAGCCCCACTCCTGGCTCCCAACCCTCTCAGGCGTCCTGGCCATCCTCAAAGTGCCTCCCCCAGACCTGATGCCCTGCTTACCCGGTCCCCCAGGTAGGAGGGTGGGGCCTGCCAGTACAGCTCGGGGAAGGCCTCAGGCACTGCCTCGGGCACGTGCCGCAGGTCTGCACGGAGCATCTCCGTCCCTGGCCGCCGCTCGTGGGGCACTACCTGCCGGTCAGTGCTCAGCAGCACCCAGCCCTCCATGTCCACGAACTGTGGGCACATACATGTGGGTGCACACGGGTGGACGCCCACACATCACAGCACCCCATCTTTTTTTTTTTTTTTTTTTTT